ATATTACATGAATTTGTAGCATTTAAATTTACTTAACCAATATCAGAGCAAATTTGTTAAAGGATTTTTTTCAAGTACATCTTACAAGTTATTTTTTTCAGTGTAGAGCAACTTAGAGAACATGTTTAAAAGATTRAACAATTTGCTTGGAGTTTTATTACTAAAAAAGTCAGTTGAATTGAAAAGGATGTATTATTTTTCARTGACTTTTCCACTGTAGCCAGAATGATTGTCACCCCAACAATGCCTCACTCCAGAGAGTCTCATCAACACGCCAGCTGCCTGGTCGCCAGTGTTTTTTGTGGCTTTCCAGACTGCCCCATATGGCCCTCTCCAGGCTAAGGGCTTTGTTCCATCCGTATCCTCTGAGCATCGAGATCTCTCATGTCACTCTTCTTGGCTTGATGATTGTATATTAGAAGAGAGAACCGACACTCCATGGTCATTCAGGACTCTGCCAAATAAGAGGTTCGCTTTAGTATGGGCTCCTCTTTCACGGGGTATTATTGCCTGATGAGGTTGTTTCGTGCCAAGGAGGGCTTTTACAAGTGGAAAGGTGTATCGATTATTACACTCGGTTTACAGAGGGTGGTGTGTAGAGGTGTCCATCATGAAAAGACATGTATGAGTGGAAGAAAAGGCAGAGGAAAAAAAACACTGTGAAAAAAACCTGCCGTCTAATGCAAATTGCAAAGCGAAGGTCTGCTTTTGTGTCTTTGTGGTGCTATTTTTCATCAGCACATGTTTCACTTGTATTCTGCTCTTGTAAGATTTAATTAAATACTTTAAACATTTAAAGTTAAACAGTCTTTGCTTTATGTTTTGGCTGCAGATTTTTATTGGTGACAGTAAATTAAGAAGTCAGTATTTGGAAGCTAACATAAGGCGGAACGCCCGCTTGCCGTTTTTGTTTCGTTTTATTTTGAAATGTCGTTCTGTGTTTCCATTCAACCTGTGTCCATGTGCAATGCATCAAAATGGAGGTCTAGGCCCTCCTCTTTCGATTGACACCTCATTTGACCAACTGGGTTCAAGTATTGGCTGTCCAGAGCCAATAATATATGAGAAGTGACCAACTTCCGTTTTCCGTCACCCTGGACTAGATTGACTGTAGAATTGGCCAGTCAGCTACGAGCTTCATTCTGAGCCCACAGCTGTGTAGCCAATCACCGTACCTTTCATTTGGTATATATATTGAGGGGGGTGGGAACTTTGTTTAGTGACGGACAAGGTAAACACAGAGTAGGTCACCATATTTAGACAGTCGTGCTACGCTATCGAAGGAAGCTAACGCTCACAGGAAAATGTTTATTTTCCATCAGTTTTTTGAGCTGACTAAACCTGCTGACAAGATGAAAATATATTTGTTATCAAGTGTTTCGAGTGCTTCAAGACAGGGAAGAGTGATTTTTGTGGCCAGGAGAAGTAAAAATATTTGAATAAAAGCACTCTGGTTGGCCATTTTGAGTCGCTAATTTCGTCATATTTGAGGACAAATACGCATCAAATGTGAGTGAAAAACTAATATTTTTTCGCTGCTGGTGGTTTTATAAGCTGTGTGGAATGTTAATGCTTTGAAAGAAATAAGGATATATTTGTTTATTGTTGTATTTTGGCTGTTTATTGGTGGAAATTTGACTGAATGTGCTCCAGTTGGTCTAATTATTTCTGAATATATATACATAT